TATGCTAATTAAAACGTTTGAGAGGCTCGTCTGCCAAAGAGAAACCTAAACCCAATCCCAGCAAAACCAAATCCAACCAAAGTCGGGTCAGCATTCTTAATGTGACAATCGTGGCGAGATAACTAATTTAATTAATGCATAACCATAACGATTATTATTATAATTATATACACACACAGCCGATGAATATGCAGGCACGAAGATGTGGCCAAAAAAAAGAGAATACGTAAAACTGGATATGTCTTTGGAACTATAAAACCATAAAACTCGTTTGCTAACTGTGGCCAACTAATGACGAACCGACTTTCAAGTTTAAGCCAACTTGGCGACAGGTGCAGGGCCCATCCCAAATCCCCTATTATCATGACGTCATGGCCATGGCCGAATGTCCAAAAAGAAATAGCTACACCTAGAGAAATAGTGCCAGCTTTGTGGGACTAAGAAGATGTATAATATGTATTATTTAATTCAAAACATAAAATATTAATAGCTAGAAACGACCTAACAATACCGTATTATATCAAGAAGAAATTTTTAAACAAATTTAAAATTATAAAACTATATTAACATAAATAAATAATATATTTGCACATGGATGAAAAAATGGAAAAATGTTTAAGCATAATCTTGAACATTTCTTGACTTTATCTTGGCTTATCCATTTTATAGATCCCCATTTTTTTCGGGTGTACTTTTATGAAGACTCTTTTGTGCGGCCAAATCAAATAGGCATTCAGATATGAATTAATTTTAATCAATGCAAATGATTTGCACTAATTTAGCAACAAGTTTTTCGGTGTCAGTTTGCTTAACTTCCTAGTTGGCCGGGCACAGTGTTCCCTCGTTAACGGGTCCCTCATAATGAGCTGCGGAAATGTTTGCCAACCGAAGTCGCATTGGAGATCGCAATTAACAAGTTCTTATTGCCCGGACCTAACTCGTCTGCTAATTGGCAGTGCATTTCGCTCAGCGGCTTTGTTTTCTCTGGTTTTTTCTGCGATTTGGGAATCGGAATCGGAATCGCTTTTCAAGGACCTAAACGCACTCGAGTATCTGGTTTCCAAGGTCCAAAGATCCGCAGGCCTGGAGAAAAATGTGATTCACTGACGAGGCTGTGTAACAAGTCAATTGGAATTTCTTAGAATCATTTCGCGTTGTTGTTTATTCAGCTCAGCCAACAATTCGAGCGAATCTGTTTCAGTAAAATTCTCTGATTCATCGTTCTAGCGCCGTACACTATTAGCATATTAGATAGAAGCAATAGGCATCCTGTTTGTAAATTGCTGCATTTTTTAACAAAATTATAAAAACTTGAAAGAATGTTAAGTAACATTTGAGGTAAAGATTCTTAGGGAACTGAAAAGGTCACATTTGTTTTGGATCACCTTTCTTGCAAAGAAAATGTAACCCAAAGTTAAAAACTAATATTTTAATGCTAATTATTAAAGAATTACATCATTAGCAAGTCTAAAGATATATTTAACTCCGAATTGGGCCTCAATTTTAAAATTTTTGGGTCACCTTTTTCTAAAAAGATAAAAAGGGTATGGCCATCGAATTATGCATAAATTAGACCAAAATTAAAATGGCACTGCAGCTTATGAATGAGTAATTTTGATGGTAAATGGTACACTCTAGTAAATGATTCATGGCCATTATCGGAGATCGAGTCTTTTTAACCACCGATCCCCGGCCCAGAAATACCGCCTCGAATCGGTCAAGTTAGTTGACCCACAATTGTACTCATTCGCCAATCGACATTGCCATTCCATTCACAATCGCTTAAAAGTAATCCCCCGAAAAGCGTTGCACACAGTCCCATATATCCCATACAGCCACTATATAGACATATAGTGGCCCATTCACTTGCAATTGCCCGATTGCCAGTTTGCCGGCTTCGTGCTCTGACAATCAATTTAGCTGCAATTCGTAGTTCTGCGAATCGAGTGATTCACTCGCATTCGTATATGTAGTACACATCATTCATACGAATGCAGCTCTAGTTTTTGGTCTCTCCCACGCCGCAGCGAATATCTGAATGTGTGTGAGTTTGAGTCACTGCGGCTGTAACGGGTTTTTAGCACTGCGAGAAAATATTAGGTGCTCTCTTGGTAAGAGTTGAAGTTCGTATTTGGGCTTTATAGTTTTGCTATAAATATTCTCTAAAATAAATAGTTTTAACTCTTATATTTTTTCGTTTTTTACCTTGTTTTAAACTATTAAAAAATCCCCTAAGCTTAAACATTTTTTTAAAATATTTACTTGATTTTTTTCTTCCAGTGCAACTGCGATCATTTCGCAATTATTGATTTTGCCAGTGCAAATAGATGGCGAGCTGTGATTTCTGAGTCGCGTTTTTGTGTGCGCGCACAATATTTGAACGGACGACGCCTTTCGTGGTAATTTAAAACATTTTGTGTACACAGTTTGTTAAGATTCGTAAACAAATCACGTCCAACAACAATGCGCAGGCGCAGCAGCGTCAGCTTTGCAGCTTTTTTGAATTTCGCGCCGTCGCCAAACATTGCAATACAAATGCGATCGAGTATATATATATATTTATGTGCTATATGGCGAAATATACTATATATCGAAAGATGCCGGTTGCGTTGGCGTCGCCTCGCATTTTGACCGTTTCTTTTTGAACACATTGGCGGGCACTCATTAAAGATATGGCGGCGACGATAGGGGAAATCGGAGATTATCCAATATACGGATCAGTTGGTGAAAGTGAAAAGGAAATGCATCAATATACCTCAGATAATGTTATCATTAAGAATTTATTTACAAAATAATTTTTTTAAATGTTTTCATAGAATTTTAAATTAGAAAAGAGTATATATAATTTAAATAGATTTGTCTGGTATTATAAATGCATGTTTTATTTATTTGCCTTATTTTTGATATATAATCAAAAATAATCATGATTGTAATTTATATTATAATTTTCCTACCTCTATAATTTTTATTTAATTTTTTATTTATTTTCTTAACTGTTTAATAATTGTTTTATCTTTAAACATAAGTTGTATATATATTTGTGGCTTTTTTCAATTTTTAGGCTATATAATCTCCTTAGGTGTATTAAAATTATTTCTATACTAGAACTTTCCCTATTCATTTAATTATTTTTTATTTTTTAAAGGGTATTCTGCGAACGTTGCTGGGCTTTCGTAAACTTTGCATTTGTGGTCTCTGTGTTCCATTTCGCATTCATTAGCAGTATTCGCACTCTTTTCGTCTCTCCGATGTCCGCGTTCATTTTGCATGCATCGTTTTTTTATTTCATTTTATTTTATTTTGTATTTTTGTTGTATTTTTTTGCTTAACGACGCCGCTGTCTGCCGATCGGTTTTATTTTTTTTTTTAATAAACACGCCAAGACAACAACAGAAAAGGAAAAAGAGCAAAAGCTGGCAGCGCCGGCAACAGCGGAAAAAATGCAAAAATAAAATAAGAAAATAAGAGGAATAAAGCAAAAAAAAAGCGGAGACTGCGCCAATGCCGGCCGGCTTTTTTAACCGACTGAGTCACTGCAGGTTTTTGAACTTGCTAAAATCGCTGCGCAGGCGCATTCGGCGTGCAATTTTCAGCGCGCGCTTTTTATTTCTTTCGGTTTTTTAGGCCGCTTCCTTTTTGCGGTTTCTGTTTTGTTTGGCTGCTTCTCGCAGTTGTTGATTTTCGTTTGATTTCTTTAACATTTTTAAAATGTTTCAGCGTTTACAAGCGTCTAAATACAGGGCTCAGTCGATAGAGTGGAATCCCATTTGGGACAGATTCAAAAATATCTATGCAGTACTGCACATAAACACATTTTTGTTATTAATGTAATTCTATTATTTAAATAATTTTAAATATGTAATAATTACCTAAAACTTTATTGAAAATTCAGAATACTTTGTGATAAATTTTTGCACATATTAAGTTTTTTTTATTTACTTTAATAACAAATAAATAAATTTATCACGTATACGCAGTATGGACCACGTCTCCTACTTTTCCATTAAGTTATTTACTTTTAATATATACTTTTTTTAAATTAATTTAATAAAAAACTCAACAACTTGAATACCTTTCTGTTTGCCTACTGTATTTCCTTGGCATTATCTGCGATATTTCCTCTTTCACTTTTTCGATGCGCGCAGCTTTGATTCATAAAATAAATGGATCGTCTTTTAACTGCACAAATGAATTTGGCTGTTGTGCCGAGCATCCGCATAGTCCGCTCGATTTCCCTCCTCGGTTTCCCCTTAATCCCCGTTGCGCCGTGAAATGCAAATGACGACATGATTAGCCGCCTCAAAGGGGGGGGCACTACGATACGATACGATCCGATCTCCGATCTCGGATCTCTCAGAGCCATCATAAAAACCCGGCGACTGGGTCCCACAACTGGCAATTAATTAAAATGCATAAATTATTACCCATCCGCCGTGTTCGCGGCTCTTTTCCGCACATTTGTTGCTCGTTTTAATGGCGCCGTTTCATTAGCAGTCCGCCACCGAGATTCACGCCTCCCGACGCCTCCCAAAAGTAGGCCATGTTTTCCGGGCGTTATCCTTGAAACGCTCCTTGAGGTATTTTTAGGCATTTTCGGTGGTTTCCTGATAAATTAATATAAAATATGTAATATTGTTTGCAATTTTTCACTTTATAGTTTTCAATTATTTTCTAGATATTTAATTTTATAATTTTAGATTATTTTTTAATAATCAATAATTTTGAATACTTTTAAATTCCATACTTCTAGATATCGCAATCTTTTAAATTGAATATTTCGGTACCTCGACCGTCTTAAATCAAGCATTTTATCCAGCTTTTTTTGTATTATTATTATTTTCAGTCGGGATCAACTCATTTGGCAACGTTTCCTCGCCGCTGACGTTGTAAATTGAAGCTAAAATGTTATCCCCAGCTGGATCTCTCTGGATCTCGGGATGATGATGGAGATTTAGATGATGCGAGACAAAGGGGAAGACAAAAGAGATGAAGACACTTAATTTCTGTTCTGTTCTTTATTTTTTCGGTTGGTCGTGCTGCGAGTGTGACAAAACAATTAATGTTTATTTTTGCATTTTAATTTGCCAACATTAATTGCAAGTTTATTGAGCTGGAAGCCAACGAACCGAACCCCGTCGCTGGCCTTGGTTTTTGGCTTTTGGTTTTTGTATGGGCTGACCATGGATCTTCATAGTTTGGCCGAGAGGGTCAGGGTCATCAGGACGACGAACAGGGAGTGGGCCAGCAGGGTGAAGTCGGCGCCGAGGCCCTCCCAATAGTAGTCGAGGATCACGGATCCGTAGCGGGCCGCAAAGGCGATGGCCGCCATGCCGCCGTACAGATTGCTCGACTGATTGACGCCCAAAAAGAGCAACGATACCACGTTTCCCAGCAGGGTGAGCTCCTTCAGCGTCTCCGTGGAGGTGTCCTCGTTGTCGCCCATCTTGGCCATCAGATCGTAGACCAGTGGGACGACGAAAGAGCCGTGGGCCAGGGCCAAACTCGGGTTGCTGGACTTCAAATACAGCTCGATATTGGCCAGCGGCAGCGGTACGATCTCCATGATTCCCGACGTTATCAATCGCACCCGGTTGCACTCGTCGTCGTCGTTGCTCGCCGCCCGCACCACCCCCAGGAGGCCGTGGACCAGGCTCAAGGCCGCCGTCGCATAGCCGTAGGGCGTCTCCAGGGGATGCAGCGTGTACATCGCATAGCCGGAACTGACCACCAACAGGCTGTTGAACAGCGCGTCCATCAGCAGCATTTCTCTCTTTCGATCCCTTCGATTTCACTGATTTTCACTGATCTTTCAACCTTTTACTAGTTTTATTTTGGCATAGTTCACCTCTGACCTTGGTTATTCGACTGCGAAAACGGCAAATTTAGTGTTAGTTTACTCGTTTCAGATCCATTTCAATGTCAGTTGTGAGTGACAGTTGGGGCCAGGCTAACTGAAGGGATTTACGTTTACCAATATTTTGAAAAATATTGATAAACATATTTCTGGCTAAAAATAATAAAATAAACCAGCAATTTCCAGAGGTACAACACTTAAAAAGCTTAAAAGTGCATCTTTGGGTCACCCTCATATATCGGAGACTTCGTGAGGCCTAGGAAAGAATTTAGTAGTCATATATCAACAACTATTTTGCAAAAGGTTAAACCAATTCATAATGAGAAAATAAAAGCAGAATTTTAATTGAATTCAATCTAATGTATGTAGTTTAAAAGTGCAAGGTCAACAAATTAAAAAAAAAACTGATAATAATATCTTATATAAGTGATTTTCGCCATAAACTTTCTTCCGAGAAAATTGCAAAGTTCTATGCTGAATTTTGGATAGTGGCTGTAATGGATTCGCTGGGATGCGATAAACCACGCCGGACAACTTCTCATCTGGCTGAGCACCAAGCACTGAGCACCGGGCCCAATGTCCCCGTTGATTTATGGCATCAAGGGTGGGCAGTTTAATCCACTCGCATCCACATCCACATCCACCTGCCGGCGGCAGATGGCCCAGAGTATGAAGTTCCAAGTCCAAAGACCAGAGACTAAAGACTAAAGACCACAGACGGAGGACGGAGGGGACCACGACCACAAGCCCGCTTTAATTATTAATTTAAATCGCACCGTTTATATGATAAAGACACTGGGACGTGCCGCTGAGCATTAGTGCATGTTGCAAGTGAAGTGGCAAGTGCAGAAAAGCGGACAGGAGCGGATCAAGGGCTAAAGTCGATTTCTATAAATATATCTTAAAATTTGGTAAAATGTATTTTTTTCAAAATTAATACCGAATTTAATTTCAACTGATAAATTTAACAATTATACTTGATTTTAATATTTTAAACCATTTATTTAAAGTAAATATGAACAAAATCATATCAAAAATATTTTCTACCTTGTTTTAATTTTTTTTTAAATGAAACCAAGCAGCTTACAATTGGAATAAAGTATACAAATATTTTTTTCAATTTTTCCATTGATTTTTTAATACATTCTAGTTCTTTAAGAATATATTTTTAATTTGTTTGCCGCTTTAAAAAATATAGTAGTCCATTTCGCTTAATTTGCTCATTTCTAAACCGCTCCTTTTTTCGACATGATGGAGTGGCGTGACAAAAGTGGTTGCTCGAATGCCTCCCCCTTTGCCGTCCCGCCCCTGACCCCGGCCCCGCCCCTTTTTGGGCAACCGACCGCCCGCACCCCTGCCCGCACAGACAGTATATATGTATATAGTTGAACGATATGAAGTCTGCAGGCGAACTCTGCAAGCGTAAAAATATGAAAAGTGCCGCAAGTGCAACAAGTGAACTAAGAAAATAAATACGAAAAAAAGAGTAAAGAAACCAACAAGTGCAAGTGCAGGCAACTCAGGCTCAGACACTCAATTCATAATTAATCAGGCTCTTCTTTCCACTTTCTGTGGCGAGCTTAACACTTCCCTTGGCCACACTGAGCGAAAAGTGCTATTCAAATTAAATAATTAACACAAATATTGCATCTTACTTCTTTGGTATTTTTAAACTATTTAAATTTAATTTATAATAATTTTACAGTACTTCAAATAACATTTAGCACTTTTCTCCTAAGTTCCAACATTAAAGGGGAATTATAAAATCTAACAAAAATAGTTAAGAATTTAGAAAAGCCATTATAAAATTTAGAAATTAAATGGAGTTTATAAAATACAATGGAGTATAAATTTAAAAAAGACTTTGCAAATTAATATTAAATTATTAAAGACTTTCCCAAATCTTTATATGTTTTTATTTTTTAATATATATATAATATATTGTATCATTTTTCACTCGTAATTTTATTGGAAATCATTTAACCAATTCTACTTTTATTTTGTGGCAGTGCAGGGACAACCCTCAACCCTCGATGGACTTTCCTGACTGTGCGCCAAGGTTGAGCGAGCATTCGTGATCTGAACTTGGCGGGGAATTGACCATACCATACCATACCATATAGCCAGACCATCCCAAAGACCCCGAACGAAAAGCCTCTGCAGCTGGCAGGCAGCTTGAGGCCGACTTTTTTTGGGATCTGGATCCGTTCTGGGCCAGTTTGCAGTTTCCAGTTTGCAGTTCCCATTTTCCACTCGTGGCTCGTGTGGCAGCTAAGGCGGCCCATTGATTTATGGCCAACTCGGCGCCCCAGCTAATCAGCGGCATTTGCATGCAGATCGCAACTAAGTTTTTTGGCCAAAATGTTTAATGAGCAACGCACCGAAGAAAAAAACCTGCGTGGCTAAATATTTTCCGGCTAACAAAACCAAACCAAATCAAAACGAAACGGGCCAAACAAAAAAATCGACAAATGGGAATCAAAACAAAAGTCGCTGGGTAATACTCTTTATTTAAAAATAATTTTAATAAATGATTTTTTAATTAAGCTTAAATTAAATAAAAAAAACTGTTGTAAATGTATAGAAAAATGCTTTAATTTTGAACATACAGCACATTTTCCAATTATACTTTAAAATTAAATTTTCAACAAACTAATTTAGGCTTAAAGTTCGAAAAATATAAGGAAAATATTTTGATATTTTCTTAACATTTCTTCCGACAGTTTCGACATTTTATTTCAATTGCTTATTTTTTTTTTGGAATTTAAAAAGAATTTTTTAAACATGTTTCAGGTTTATTAAAATTTCATTATATCCTATATATTTTGAGAGTATCTGAAGAGAAGACGCCTCGACCAAATTGAACAGGGCAGTCCAAAAAAAGTGCGTGAGCGATGCGCAAATATTTGGCCGGAGTTTTGGAAGTGAAATAAATGAAATGAAATGAGTTGCGTTCGATTTTGGGGCTCTTGGGCTGCTTGAAATGCGCGCCAGAAACCCTACGCACTTCATAAATTATTTAACAGCTGCCCTGGCCAATTTTTGGAGGGTTTTCAAAGGGGGTTTCCGTGGGGTTTGGGGCTTCGGGGGGCTATTCAAAGGGGCGTTCGAGGGGCGGTGGCCAGCGGAAGGGGACCAATTTTAATTGCCGGCTACATGACAATGACAACACACCACCGCACGCACTTTTTGGAGGCCGATCGAGTAGTCAGCAGTCCGAAATCAGAAATCAGGCAAGAAAAAATAACAAAAATACCGAAGCGACGCAGAAATGTGCGAATTTTTGACAACTGCAAAACGAAGTCGAGGCATGTACAACATGGCTTTGTACACGATTGTCGCCCCGCCTGATTTATGGCAAACGCCCCGGACAAGTTTCCAGATCTAAGCGATCCGTGATTCATATATAACATACAGATTGCCTCATTCGGTTGCTGGGAGAATGGGTTATAATAAAGTGCCTACTTACAAAAAATACAAAGTACAAAAAAAAACACTTGCCTTTACCACCGCAAAAAAGTGTGTCCAAAAACGCTGAAGATCGTGCGATCCGATGGATTGGATAATTGTGTTAACAGATGGGTGTAATAATGTGACAGGAATTTCCTAATTAATATTCACTGACTAAAATCTGGCCATCGATTTGTATTCCATTGATAAATCTTTAATCAATTTGATAGTGGATAGTGGTAAATTTAATTACCATGCATGTAATTATGTTTATAATATTTTTTTTATTAATATCCACAGTTTAAAATATATATTTTTTAATATTTTTTATTTTTGTATATATTTTTCTCTGTCAGAAATTAAAGTTCTTAAGACTATTAATTTTCTAAATCGAAATTAAATAAAGCATAAGCGTTAATAAATTAAGACAACTGACAAGATTAATTTTAACATTATGACGGTGTTCGTGTTTGATTTTTTGAGTGACTTAATTGATTTGATAGAAGAATGTTTGTCATTTAAATGTCAAATAGAGGCAGAATCATGCAATAAAAATAGAACTGGTTCAAATACAATTTTAATTATTAGGTTGTTGCGAATAATTCAAGCTATTTCTAAAAAACATAATTCTTGCATTCAAAGAAAAGAACATATCAGCTTGTCCTATTAATCATTCGACTGCTCGAGCATCTTTAATTTAACTAGTTAATAATGGGCGCTGGTTCCTCATTCCACATTTTCGATATATAGCGCCAGTTTCGAGATCAAAAAACCCGAACAATGAGTTGGGTTTCAATTTGATAGCCTAATTGCACAATATGCGGATGTGTACGATCGCACTATGAAAATCCAGCAGGGGCATTATTTTCGCATTTGATTTGATTTATGTCGCTTTGTCGGCTGCTCAAGGATTGGACAGATTATTATTTTGGTAATTTATGGCACTTCACCGAGCCCCAAGCATCCCCATTCAAATTCCCATGGCTGCCTGCCGGTCCATAAAATATAGTTCAAGTGCCCCGAAAATCCATTTCCAGGAAGTCCTATGCTGGCTCGAACCGGAAGTTGGGAGTGTGAACTTCTGCGAAATATTTCAACTTAATATTGATAAGCAGAAATTATGTTAAGTCCCCTTGATATCCGAGATAAAAGAGCACGAATAATTGTGATATTATTTCAAATTCCAGAAAAATTCACTCTGTAGCGTTCATAAGAGCTTACATAGTTTAGTTATCAACAAAATTAATTTATTTTTAAGGTTTACGATAAAAAAACGATGCCTTTCTTTAAAAATATTTATTTACTTGCAAATTTAAGGGAAAGTTCAAAATCAGCTTAGTATTTCTACATAATATTGATAAGTAGGCTTTGGGTGCCCATGATATCCAAAACAAAAGAACACAAAAAATTTTGATTTTTTCAAATTCCTAGAAAAAAACAAAGTTAAGTTATCAAAATAAACTTACATGTTTTTTATTAAAAGCCTCAAATAAAAAAAATCACAGTTTTTCTACAAATTATTTATATTTTCTTGAAATTCCGAGAAAATCTACCGTAATT